AGAGAGAGAGAGAGAGAGAGAGAGAGAGAGAGATTAAAACAACATGATAATAAAAATGTAATAAAACACATGCTTTGAACAGATGTCTGTTGAGCGCATTAAATTGTTATTATCTAATAAGTAAATAATAATTTAATACAATATAGATTATTTATTTTAATATAATATTTACAATATGTGAATGATAAGGGATGATTAAGATAAAATAATTAATAATTAATATTTGTTTAAACATGATTATAACATAAGTTAGTAGGAGCAATTAACCATGAGTTAAATATTATATATTGTAAAATATTTACAGGTAATATTTACAAATTCTATTAAAAATTTCAATTATATTTTAATTGGGTATTTTTAATTTTGTTTTAAATCCAATAATATTATATTTATAATATTTACTCAAAATCTATGAGAATTAAACAAATGTTCACAAAACACATGTTATATAATAGAGTAAATATTTATAATTTATTACATCATACACTCAGTAATAATGATAATTATAAGAATTTTACTTTGAATCTTAAAAAATTGTTTTTTAGATTTTTAATTGTTTTTTATATAAATATTAAATGTATTTTATTTTATTAGACGTTTGTACTAAACATAAACACTGGTTTAGTGCATAACGTCATAAAATAACAATAAATTTAATTTAAAGTTAATGTTAAACTGAATTAATTTTATGATATTGTTGTTTGGAATAACTCGTATATTAATTGCTAAATGTACTAAAACTGTGTATTTGTGTCAACATCTTTAAGTGCATTCAGTATAGAAAAATATTCCTTGCTGTATATAACATTTAGTACTTTTAGTTTTTTAAAATTAATTCTCATTCCGTTTCAAAATCATATGAAATTTAGTACTAATTATCTAAATTATTTTATATAAAGAATGCAATGTTCTGTAATTATAAATAATTAAATACTTTTATTCGAGGTATAGATAATAATCGAACCTAATTATAATAAAAAGACACGATTGCGTCAATACCCTTGAAGCATTTCAATGGGCCGGTGTTTTAGTACATTACTATAAATATAGCTGATGATCATCATTACAATTATAATCAAACATTAGTGTATTGTATAAACATTTAATTATAATAAAATTAAACATGAGTAAAGAACTGAATATATTGTTCATTCCGGTGAGCGCTGTCGGTCACGTCAACGGGTGTATTGGTTTGGCCGAAGTGCTCATCCAATCCGGTCATAGCGTATCGTTTGCGGTAAACCACGAATGGAAGGGTCGACTCGCAAAGTATGGCATCCGAGAGATATTGTTGGCCGACCTACAAAATGAGCATGGTGCTGAGCATGGTGCTCAGTCCACTAAAGCAATGGCCAAAATGATGATGGGATTGGGGAAAGACTCGACTCCGTTGGATAAGGCTGTGAACATGGTCACTAAAATGGGAGATCTCTTTATTAACAAGATAAAACAAATCGACGACCTAGTATCTGGTGTAATAGCCAGCTTACAACCCGATGTGCTGTTTGTCGATATGCCTTTTTTGTTGCCATCGGTGGTCAAATCAGGCATACCCTGGGTATTGGTCTCTACAGCTAATCCATTGCGTTACTTAAACGACGAACGAACACCTCCACCATTATCTGGTACGTTAATTATACATTTTAATTAATTATCTTAACTAAATCGTATTATATTAATGCAAAATTAAATTGATTTAATTATATGAAATTAAAATTAATCAAATGTTGACGACAAACTATTTTAAAAATATACGAGTTAAAACCCGCGGATTTATTGTAAATCAACCAATTGTTAGTTTCATATCTTTATGGCTTATTGTTTTAGCGGGAGTATGACCATATTTGCTTACCATTTTAATACATATAATAATTAGTTTTAGATACATACTTTAGATTAGTTTTATAGTTTATAGTAAATCTCATATTATTTATATTAATATTAATTAAGAAATTAAATAAATTACTAAATATAATGCTTTATATCAAAATAGGTCTTCCAACAAATGGGGATAAAAATGAATGGAAAATATTTAGAGATAAAGTTAAAGAGGTTCAAAAACATGGCTTAATTCAATTCAACGCATATCTTAATGAAAATGGTGTTAAGAATTTGAATGAAAATATATTTATGCTAATGCAAGAGTCGTCGCATTTGAATATCTATGGCTATCCGTTGGAATTGGATTACACAGACATCAGACCATTGCCTCCCAAATGGTATAGATTTGATAATCTCAAGCGAACTGAAAAACACATACCCTTTAATCTACCGATTCAATTAATGGACAAACCGGGAAAGTTGATATACTTTTCATTGGGATCTATGGGTGCGGCAGATGTGGACAATATGAAGAGATTAGTCAATGTTTTGTCCAAATCTAAGCACAGGTTTATTGTATCAAAAGGACCCCTTCATGACGAGTACTCATTGGCTGATAATATGTGGGGCG